CCCCAAAACCCCAAAACCCCAAAACCCCAAAACCCCAAAACCCCAAAACCCCAATATGCATTGGCTGTTGAAATTGATGAAATAAATTTGCCGAGTATCATGCTAATTTTTGTCCAAAAAATATAAATAATTCATATAAGTCTTAATGCCTATCTCAGAAAGCCAATATTATTGATTAGATCCAAAAGAGATATTAGGAGCAGCACCAGCATAATACAAAGACTTTAAAGAGATGAAAGAATGAATTGGTGACTCTTTCTCCTATTTAATTAGCCCTTGGTCTTTCTAGTTCCCAATGGAAGACTCATGAGGCTTCAGATACCACAAATGTTAGTTTTATTGCCTAATTGGATGACTGTCAAAGCTTCGACTTCTTTTGGAGCCATACACTATGAATGTAGTAACGAAGAACGGTTGGTTATAAACGTTATTTTCTGTTTTTGTCAAGAAAAATATTTTTTCTCGAAATTATTTAATGACCTTCTACTTAAAAGGTGCGGTTAAACCCTTTTGTGTAATGCTTCCTTTTATCTGTAGTATCCATTAAGACTACTGAAAATGAAACTAAGACGAATTGGCAATATTTCAGAAAGTAGGTTTAGAATTTGAACAAGTGCAGTTAATGGGTAAGCATGATTCTAAAAAACGGTATTCTATTTCATGTTGACCTCAATATATCTATCTCTAAATTCCGAATGAGGAGCCCATATAGCTCTTTTAAAGCAGAGGTGAGCTGTTATATCTACTTAAGAGGTCTCGTCAGAAATTTATGAAATCTTTCATTCAATTTGCGTGGATAACTTCTTAAAACGATCTGGGATGGCAAAATGTGCTCACAAGTCATTAAGATAAAAGCTATATGTATTCTCCATTGCTGATGGGGTCTCCTAACTTAATTTCTCTCTTATTTTATCTCACTTGCACAAGATGAATCGCTACTTAGAATAGGTTGGGAGGTTTCGTTCATCCCATTCTTCATATCTGTTGCATCTGCCAGAATAAAATGAAATAGTGTCTGGAACATAGTAATAGAGAATGTTAGTGAAAGTAGCCGTAGTGTCATCATCAGGGTGCGACTATGCTCTTCTCTCTTGTTTTGATCCGTTTTTATCCTCGACATCCGATTGAGTAATGAAAGTTATATAAGAAAATTTCTCAGTAAGTTTAATAAAAATAAATAATGCAGAACTTCAATCATTCAGACCAAGAAGACTTTTGGAATTTGGACAGAGGAGCCTTTATGGGAATCTGTAAGCATACCTTAGTATTCCTGTACTCATAACTGGACCAAGCTCTCTTATGTGGTTGGCTTTATTGGTGGATCACTCTTAAGCACAAGATCCTTCATCCTGGTTTACATCTTGAAATTATTAACAAATTTTTAATAGGTCCTACTAATCAACAATCAGAAAGTTTATTTGATGCCATCAACTTCTTAGATCCGAGCAAGGATCTCGAATATTCAGGCTTAGAAGAAGCCGACCAGCCAGAAGAAGTATCAAACTTTTTTAAGAATCTTGGAAGCATTATGGAGGAAGAGAGAAAGGAGATCTTTGGAATTCAAGGTTCAGAAAGCTTGTCATTAAACCAATTTGATAACTTTCTGCAACCAAATATGGATCCAGTTGAGCCAATTGACAAGAAACCCTCTCCATCAACCCAAGAACTTCCAAAGAACCTGGAGAAACTTGAAGTTCCCGCTTGAAGAAATTGGATACGGTGGGGAAAGAATGAAGATAAACTACTTTTCCATAAGATCCACGGACTTGAAAAGAAAGGAGTACTCAGTTTGGATGAAATAATCAATCTCCCTTCTCGAGAGGTCAAGAATGATCCTTCTGTTCGTCATCTCTGTTCAGTCTTCCATTGGAGAACCCTCCCCAGAGATCTAGTGAAAAGAATTAAGAAGAGGATGTCTGACTATTTCTCCCATCGAGAAATTAAGTTGATGAAGAGAATTATTAAGCATCAGTACAAGTACCAGAACCTAGACTACGAGAAGATCCTGTATGAATTCCCTGGCAAAACCCTCGCTAGAGTGACTGAAGTCGCAGACCTTGTTGTAAGGTGAAAGCAGGACATGAAGTTGGACCTTATAAACGCCAATAACCAAGCTTAATTAATAGTTATTAGTAATTTAAAGTAAACTTATTTGTATCCTGGTGAAGGGCAATAAATTCAGGGCTTATATAGATCTCTGATTCTTTCATATTTCCTAGTGGTATGGAGAATTTAAGGTTCTGGGATCAATAGTAATGATCCAGGGTTATTTGAACAAAAATCCTCTGCATCTTGTGAAACATTATTAATTTGAAGTGGGATTAGATATCCAAATGTTTGATTAAACTTTGTTAAAATTGCACTATTTCAAAATATTTATTGTATTTCCAGAGATGGTTTAAAATCTTTTCAAATTTCAACACTCTTTTATCATTCTGGGGTTTTGGGGTTTTGGGGTTTTGGGGTTTTGGGG